GTACCCCTCAAACTTAAGGGAAAATTTTATAAGATGGTGGTGAGGCCTGCAATGCTTTATGGTGCCGAATGTTGGCCTTTAGAAGAGAAGCATAATACTAAGTTAAGTTTGACAGAGATGAAAATGCTCAGGTGGTTGAGTGGCTTTACCCTTAGAGATAGGATACGGAATGAGCATATACGTGAAAAGGTTGGAGTAGCTCCAGTAGAAGATAAGATTAGAGAAAGTCGCCTTAGATGGTTTTGGTCACATAAAACGGCGGCCTTGTGATGACCCGGTTAGGAGAGTAGAGGTATTAGATTTGACTTATTTTAAGAAAGGTAAAGGCATACCTAAAAAGACTTGGTTAGAAAATATTAGGAATGACCTTTCTTTATTAGATTTAAACGAGAATTTGACCTTTAATAGGACACAATGGAGAAAAATGATTCATGTAGCCGACCCCACGTAGTGGGATAAAGGCTTGATGTTGTTGTTGTAATCTTACTCCCAGTTGAAACTAATATTACAAGTCAATTCTGTGGATTAGCATGTGATTACATTTCCAGCAAATTTTGGAAGACAAAGAGGCTACATTAATAATCTTAGAAATATGCATATTAAATTTGCTTATGTAGTGAGATGAAAAAAAAAACAAAGGCCATATTTAGATTTCTGCTATGAAATTCTAAAGGAAATAGAATATCCAACTTCAAAGAAATGAAAGAAACCAATACAAACAACATCAATAAATCCGCCAGTTCACACCTGCCCTAATTTTATGTAAGTTGCTCCCATCCTTTCAAACAGTTTTCGTAAATAAAGAGGGGAAATTAATCCAAGCTGCAACTGAGTTGGCACTCCAGCTGAACTGTTTGCAGTCTGCGATAAATCAAGAAATGGTTTTTACCATTAGCATAATGTTGGAGAAGATCCATATAGAGAACAAAATCCTAGAATCATAGAGGATTATAAATTCAAACCAATGTTTGACATAAGCAGAGATGAATTCTCCCAGAATGATTAATTTAAAAATAAACACTTGTGCACCCAGAAGTTACAGTGCCTCATGACAGCAAAAGATGCATAAAGCAGCAATATAATAATAAAGGAAAAAAAATCAAGAAGTGGAACATAATGAAAAAAATTATGAAAGGCTCAACATTAAGATTTTTCAGAACAGGAATTTGACATGGCTTGAATATTATCTTGTTGATATGATTTATATGAATAATTTTTACTCGAAACATTAGAACGCCTAAGTTCTACAAAACATAAAAATACAAGAATTGCATATATTACTTCAAAATTTTAGAATAATCAACTTGCCTCTCCATCGAAAATCATAAAGAATGTTGTTATGCACCCTAAGCCTAACACTTCTTTGCGTGTTTCGACACAACATAGGAAAAGCATTTGCCAATTGATTTACGTTTTATTCAAGAATCCAGCATATGCTGAAATGGTGCGGAACTATAATTGGGCTGCCTTTGCGTGGAAGTTCTTTTTAATTTTTCCTAAAATCTGAGGGTGGTTCCCTTAGAGGCTGTTATGATAGATTTGTGTGCAGCTTCTTTGGCAGTTCTGTATCCGCTTGTCTGTTGGCCTTATCTATTCGGCACTAAAGTTACTATTTTGCATTATCTACTTGAGATTATAAGTTTATAACCATATCCTAAGCAAAATCTAATTTTACCTGTTTGACTCATGAACTTCAAGTTATTTTGCAATTCTTTCTATCAACATCCCATCAAAAAATTTTAATTTTTTGTTTGTTTGCCCACCATGAACTGAGCAACCCTATAAGCCTCTTCACGTAGATAAATATTCTGAAGCTAACCAATTACAACAAAAAGGTAAATGACAAACAGGATGTCATACGAAAACACCTCAAAATAGCTCGACCAAAAATTGAAGTTTCCAACACCCTTTGGAAAACGTACATTATCGGTAAGTCCGAAACATTAGAAGCAGTTAAGATAGACACTCATATTGCTTGGGTCACCAGACGAAGGAAAACTGAAGAAATTGCCTGCACATGTATACACACACACACACACACACATATATATATATATATATATATAACATTAATAATATTAAAAAAAATTCTCTCCTCTACCAAAGCAACCACCTACGCATCTCTCCCATTCCCAATCTCATTCTCCTGCCCATGCCTAATCCACATCCCCGTACACATGCACATCACCCTACCCTCTCTCTCTCTCTCTCTCCCTAACTCTATTCCCAAAACCCCAAGAGGAGAATATATATATATATATATAACATTAATAATATTAAAAAAAATTCTCTCCTCTACCAAAGCAACCACCTACGCATCTCTCCCATTCCCAATCTCATTCTCCTGCCCATGCCTAATCCACATCCCCGTACACATGCACATCACCCTACCCTCTCTCTCTCTCTCTCCCTAACTCTATTCCCAAAACCCCAAGAGGAGAAGCAAGGAAGTCAAGTGTGGATTTCAAAGGGAGAAGACATCGACGGAACCTACAGCATGTGGAGACAGAGTCGCCAACGCAAATTCGCGAGAAGAAGGCATCGATGGGATCAAGAACTAAGAAGCGAGGAAGTCGCAATAAAAGCTCGTTATAGAAGGCATCAGCAAGACTAATGGGGCATAGTGTTCGAGAGACTTGCAAATTGAAGTTGAATCTTGCCTGCATCTTGCTACAAGATGCCTCTTCTAACATCATCCTCTCTAGCAAAATCCTCATCAAAACCTTCTCCATCAATGCTAATCTCACAAACAGTCTCTTCCAATCTCTAATCCCCCCTCTCTCCTTCCCTCATTATTTTTCTCTCTTTCTCTCTCTAATTATCCCATTCTTTCATTCTCACACTCTTATTCTCCCTCTTTTTTTTTCTCATTCCTTCTCTAATTCTCTCTTTCTCACTTTCTTTATATTTCTCTCTATGTCACTTTTTTTTTCTTTTTTTCTATGTCACTTTGTTTCTCTCGTTCTCTAATTCTCTCTCTCTCTCTCTCTCTCTCTCTCTCTCTCTCTCTAAATAAAGGAAAAATAGAACAAAAAAGTGATAGGAAATACTTGGTTTCAACTATTTCTTAGCCAAATCTAAAGCAAATTGTGATAAAACCTGCTGTAAACAGCAGAAAAAACAGCCAAACTGTGGACAAAACACTATTTCTTAGCCAAATCTAAAGCAAATTGTGATAAAACCTGCTGTAAACAGCAGAAAAAACAGCCAAACTGTGGACAAAACACTATTTCTTAGCCAAATCTAAAGCAAATTGTGATAAAACCTGCTGTAAACAGCAGAAAAAACAGCCAAACTGTGGACAAAACACTATTTCTTAGCCAAATCTAAAGCAAATTGTGATAAAACCTGCTGTAAACAGCAGAAAAAACAGCCAAACTGTGGACAAAACAGGGAGAAATCTGGGAGAATGATGCGGGCAAAAGATATATAGGTGCCTATACCCTTCGCCCACAAATAAAGAAGACTGGACTTCTACCGACAAAAATGACTAAAGACGAGAAAATGGACGAACAAACTCTTACATTTCAAATTAAACTAAACAAAAGAAAACTTACAACAATACAAACGACTCTTGCAAACAAAATGACAACACCCTAAAGTTGCTTCACTTAGAGAAGAAGGATACAGGTGGAGTGGCACTTGAGAAGAGACGAAAGAGATATGAACTAAAATGTTAGCTCATAATGAGCTAACCCTTAGTTCAATAAATGAACTAAAGTCCAGCTCATAAATGAACTAAAAGTTTAGCTCAAATATGATGAACTACTAGACTCAAGGGAAGCCAAAATTTGATTTATTTTGGACTTGTGTTGACCCCCCCTTTGTCTGCATCAAAGAATAGTTGAGAAAATCACCCAAATACTTGTATTAGACTAGTAGATGAAATAAAATCAGCAAAGATAAAAAGATACTCTATTCGAGAGGAGGATCACACTCTCCCAATTCTCTAGAATGAAGATCTAGAGCCCTCGCACCCAAAGAACAACAAGAGAATTTTCTTAATAATTCAAAACATGCCTTCTACCTAATCTCCCTCCCAAACTTAAAGCAAACAATTAATTAAAATACATAAAAAGACAAAATACCCCTGCCGCCCCCTCCATTTGAAATTTAAAATCCTTTTGAGCAGTGGGGGGCCCGCCCACTGGGCGGGATTTAGAAGAGGGATCTTTCGCCTCCTGTATACCTGTAGAGCCGGCCTCTTGGCCGGCTGGGCTGGTTCACCCTGAACCGGGCTAACAATACCGCCCTCCCAAAGAACCACCTTATCCTCAAGGTGGAAATTAGGAAACTGTCTTTTTATCCGCTCGTATGGCTCCCACGTGGCTTCGTAGTTAGGGAGGTTCTTCCATTTGATCAGGACTTCTATATCTCCATCTACTTTCTGGCAAACCTCCATAAGCTCAAACGGTTACAATATCATTTTCATCTCATCAGTTAGTGTCCTTAGTAACTAGTAACTCCGAACTGGTAGCATAATCTCCGATGGCTCTCCTCAATTGAGATACATGGAAAACGGGATAGATCGTCGCTGTAGGTGGTAGCTTCAAACGATATGTCGCGGCTCCAATCTTCTCCAGTACTTCATAAGGACCGAAGTACCGTGGAGCAAGTTTCTCATTCCTCATGTTGGCGACCATTCTCTGTCGATATGGTCGGAGCTTTAAAAACACCCTCTCGCCTACTTCAAACTGGATGTCCCTCCGATGCCCATCAGCCTGTTTCTTCATAATCTGTTGAGCTCTCAACAAATTTATTTTCAACTCTTACAGTATCTTATCCCTCCCCTCCAAGTACTCCTCTACTGAGGAAACTGGAGTACTGCGACTTCCAAAATGCACCAAGTGGGGTGGATCCCTTCCATACAACACCTTGAACGGGGTAATTTGAGAAGCAGAATGAAAAGATGTGTTGTACCAATACTCAGCCCATGATAGCCATTTGGCCCATAGCATAGGTGTCTCCGACGCAAAGCATCTCAGATAAGTCTCCAGGTTCCGGTTGACTACTTCTGTTTGGCCATCCGTCTGTGGGTGGTAAGCTGTACTCCTTTTCAACAATGTCCCTTGCAATCTAAACAACTCTCTCCAAAAATGGCTGAGGAATACTTTATCCCTGTCAGAGACTATCGCTTCTGGTACCCCGTGAATCCCTCAAAACGGGGAAGCCCATCAATGAAGTCCATAGATACCTCCTCCTAGACTCGGCCTGGTGAAGCCAAGGGCTGCAGTAGCCCCCCGGGTGACATAGCTAAGTACTTATTCCTTTGGCAGACGTCGCATCTGGACACCATCTCTTCCACATCCTTGTGCATTCCTTTCCAGTACAGTTCTGCCGCCAGTCTCCTGTAGGTCTTTAACACTCCTGAATGACCTCCCACTACAGTCCCATGGAACTCCTGGAGCAACTGTGGAATGTGAATGGATGTTCTGGGTAACAAAAATATCCCCTGGTACAACAATATCTCCCCCTCTAATGAGTACCCTGGATGGTTGCCCTCTCCCTTCAGTAAATCAGTCCTGATCCTGCCTAGTTCTTCATCCCTGGCACTCTCTTCCTTGATGGCTTCCCAATCTAGCATCATTGGGACTGATACAACTATCGTCTGAAGCTCCCCCATACATCTGGACAAGGCATCTGCTGCCTTATTTTCTACCCCTGGCCTGTACTGAATCTCAAAATCATATCCCAGCAGTTTGTATAGCCACCTCTGATGCTCCTCTGTCACCATGCGTTGTTCCAACAAATATTTCAGGCTCCGTTGGTCGGTCCTAACTATGAAATGTCTCTCGAGTAAGTAGGAGCACCACTTTTGGATGGCCAAAACGATTGCCATTAATTCCCTTTCATAGACAGAT